TGTACATTGCAATTAAATAATCAAAAGCAAAACTAGCCATACCCCCTTTTACTTTTTTCGGATTTAATATCTAAAAGAAGGAGAAATTTAATAAAAACTCTTATATCTTTTATAACTTGTAAACCCTTATTGAGTTAGTTAAAAGACAAAAGTCTTTCAAGTCCAACTATACATGACACAATAAATTACACTTTATAATATATTATGATATGTTATGATACTTAACATTGAAAAATTAACATTTCCATGAAATAAATAATTTTTAATTAATTACAAGAATTATATTTATTTATCAAGGATCAAATACTTATAAATAATATAATTGAATCAATTTGTTGTTAGTGTGACTCTTTAGGATCATATATTATCTAACAATATCATTCTATAATGACTCTTGGGTATATAGATCTTTCAAACTCCCACTTGCACAAGACTCATCATAGATTGATATAGATAGTGGTGAACGTATAGCAACATGTCACTATCCCCAGTAATATATGACTTAGTTCCATTCTATCAACATCCAATTCCCAAAAGCTCTAAGCTTCAATTGATGTATTAAGGTAAGTTTATTAGTTATCCATTTATTACAGACATCATGTTGAACATGAGACTTGGATCGCAATCAATATCATTTGGTTTTCAAATTTCGGTAACGCGCATTATATATCTAACTCTCAACACATAAGATAAACAAAAACCATCTAGATTACATAAGCCTCTTGCATAGTTCACACCATACCTGAATATGGATTTTCTAACTGGCAGGTTAAGGATCAACATTTGACCATATCAAAGCACAACACTCCCTACACTTAAGTCCCACTATGTTCAATACTAGGTCTCTGAAAAGTACCTATGAAACTTGGTTACAACCACTTGCCTACTTTCATCTAGTGAGAGTCAAAAAATCCAATTCATATTAGTGTTACTTCATCATGCCCCCACAATTATAACCGACTATGAACTTTTTAGAATAATAATATTATTAATGGATTAAACATGTTATTATAGAACACAAGTATTGACGTGATGTGTGACATCCACCAAAACTCAGGTCAGTACTCATCTAGAGCTTCGTCATTTCCTTGTGTGCACTTAACTTGGCTCTAGAGTTACAAGTTGAACTAGGTTCACGACTTAATAGATCCCTCGGAACAATTAGTGTATCTTAGCTTGTATTGAACAATCTCATTGATATTTGTATAAACCAACTGAGTGGTAAAGTGCCAAAGTTGAACCTTAAGTCTAAACACAAAACTATGTTCGGTACACCAGAACCCTAAAATTTCCATATTGGAAAATTTTAATTCTTAACAAGGTTATGTATTCTAAGCTAATATGAACAAAATTAAATTGTAAGACGATCCAACTACAAAGTTGATGACAAGATCATATAATTCATAATTTGAATTAGGAGTCAAAATATAGAGTTAAGGATTTCCTAATCCTATATTCCATGTTATGAACCTTTAAAATTCATTTATTTGAAAATATAAATATTAATTTTATAAAAATCAAATCATAAACTAACCATTTTTATGAGTTAGTTAAGTTAAATACAAAAGTTTTATTAACCTAAATTATAAGGAAAACACAAAGGAATTAGAAATCCATTTCAAAAATCAAATTTGTTAAAATTAAAGAAGGTTATTATGATTATGCCTAATACCAAGAATATATCTTTCTCTCTCCTATTCCCCATTCAAAAATACGTCCCTCTCTCTATATCTCTCACTCACCATTTATTTCACCTTTAACTACTCATTACTCCTCTTCCTTCACTCCACCTTCTCTCACTTCCCTAGACACGAAATCCCCTCAACTCTCTCTAGATTTTCCAGCAACTTTCAGCCAAAATCACGAAATCTTGAATCCTTGGAGTGTCCTTTGAAGCTTCAAACTCAAATACAAGGTAAAAGATTTCATCCCCTCCATTAAGCTCTTCATCTTATGCTAGTTTTTGCAAATTTTTTTCTTAAACTCGGATTCTATGCCCTCTTATGGCTAGAAATCCTTGTTTTTCCTCTTGGTGTTTGTATATTCCCATAACACATTTCATGTGTTTGAGATGGTGAAAATCCGGGATCAAACCCATGCTAAGAGTGAAAAGAAGCATATATGTTCATATGATTTCAAAAATCGAGTTTTGCATCTTCTTCTTCATTTCTTTTGTATTCTACATAACAAAAAGTATTTAAACCATTTCTAGTACATCTTGGATGCTCATTCACTCCATGCATGTGCTAGAAATCGGATTTGTGGTGTAATCCTAGTGTAAAATTTGGTGGTTCCAAGGAGTTCTCTATCACATGAATGAAACACCCACTTTGGGGCCTTGGAATAACCCTAAATCTATGACTTGGATGAATGAACCTAAAAGTTTATTTTTCTTCTGTAAACTCTAGTTTATTGATATTTATCTTTGACCATAATAGAAGTATGCATGTTGTCTTTGTCAAAGTGCCCCTAAGAGGGCATTGAAAGCAACCTAGGATGACATGCATTATGTCAGAATATTTTGTTCAACTTTGAACGGCCGCAACTCACTCATTACTAAACAAAATCACGATATTATTTTTTTGAAGGATATTTCTATGAGTTAGATTTCGAACCCAGTTCGCCTTACTATAAAATATTAAAAATCGGATTTTTGACAATTTTCACAAAATAATTGCGCAAACAGCACTCATTCTATGATCACTAGTATTGATTTACATGATCAAGGGTCTTACACCCAAACTAAATCTGGGGAAAAATTTTTTACAAACTTACCACATCCATCAAGTTATGTCTAAAATTTTGTGGGTTAAAACCCCACAGAATGTTCTATAAAAATTTATAAACTTCCAGCTACATCTAGAACTCATGCACTATATTGTGCTACATTGCTTAACTTGTTGGGGTTGAATACCCTATTTTTCTTCTAAATATATTTCGAATAAAATTGTTTTATGAAATTTCATATATACAAGTGATGATCTGTAAAATCCTAAGAGCTAGAACAAATTCCTTATTTCTCTATAAAAATAATGATTTAATGGCTATAAATTCCAAATAATTGTTTCCAGAAGAGATACAAATCTGAAAATTTGCAGTAGTAATGTATTCACAGAATAAGAAAGACATGTAATTTTTCAGACGATTTTGACACTGTTTGGTATTTTATACATATTTTTCATTAAATTAGAGCATGAATTTACAAATTCGGGTCATTGGACTCAAAGACCCTAACCAATATTTTTCTCAATCTTAGGAACATTATGGGAGCCTGTAAAAATTAAATTGATAATTTTAGAAATTGTTTACCATTTATTTTGAATTTTATCCATTATTTGGGCTTTAAATTACAAAAAAATATCAAATAACCTTCAAAAATGTTTACAAAATTTCTGGACACCAGATAACCAATTTTTGTAATTTTATCCCTTTGTTAGAACCAGATAACCAATTTTTGTAATTTTTAGGAATTTAATTCCATTCCTTTCTAAAAATTTTAACACTATGTAATATGAACTAATGTTACCGATAATGAATCGTACACACTTTGGGCACTTTTACGACATCACTAGTTGGATAGGTAGTTCCTAGAAAATAGCTTAGTGGATTATATCTCACGAAAAACTATTTGTTCCATAGGACGCTAGTAGGAATTACACTCGTCAACATCAAACCGCGAAGCCCGAGCCACAAACTTTCCATAGTGAGTATTCACAACCCCTATTTTACGTTTTTAATGTTTTGGGGTGGAAAGCATGCTACAATTTCTATGAACATTATCTTATGTACTTGTGCTATGAACTATATGATATGAACTTTGTTGTATGAACCTTGTATCATGAACTTGTACTATGAATTTGGTGTTATGAACTTGTATGATTAAGTCCCCGGAGAACCGATACAACCTATTAACTCATATTCGAGCCGATGGTCTTATGGATAGCGCTATTTGGGGTCGACAACCCCCACTCTCCCAGAACCGCGAGTGCATATTTCCATGAACCGACATCATGGGAACCATGGACATGATGGAATGGGGCAAGAATGGTCGTTAGGCTTGGTTGTGAACGGAATGCAATGACATTCATCATTTTTTTTTTAACTAGAACTTTTATCGAACAAACTATATTTTCTTATTATAATAATGTACTATTATAAACCTGTGAACTCACCAACTATTTTATAGTTGACCCTCGTTTTTGCATGCTTTTCAGGGAACGGTCAGTGAATCAATAAGACACCAGCACGATTTAAGTTGTTGCTTTTGTTATGTATTAAATTATATATTGTGAAAACTGAATTTATTTGTTTTGTACGCGATGTAATCTTAAAACGCTTAATGTTTATGGTTGGTACTCCTATTTACCTTTTGTGATGAGACCTTAGCCTGTCACTCTTCGTGTTTCCGCTTTAACGGGGTGTGACAGATTTGGTATCAGAGCATAAGGTTATAGAGAATACCGGCTTCCCCTTTCCCTTAGGGAGGCCTAAACTATAACCGTTGAGTTAATAAAACATACCATCTAGTATAGCTAAATCGGGTAGAGCGCTACTGGGGCTTAATTATACATAGCCTGATCACCTATGTATAATTAAGGAAGAGCTAGTGCAAGACCGGAAGTGGTTATAGTGAATGATATGAACACCCTAGGTTAAACGTAAGCATTGAACAAAATAGAAATTCACTAGGATGATAAAAAATCGTTGAAAGAATAGAGTTTCTCGTGTACTACCTAGCTATGTCAAACACTAGCTCTCCAGCACTTGGAACGACAGACGAGTCAGGTTACGTCACTGCACGCCCAAAAGACAACCACGACTTGAGCACCGAACCGACCGAATATTCATATACGAGATCAGAGACTGGAGAGGAAGTGAGCAGCCAGGCACCGACTTAAGAGATTTCGGTCCCGTCGATACCCGAGCCTTCACGACAGCCGACACCTCAGCTGCCTCTTTATGGACTATGCCTCAGGAGGACAACAAGAAAGAGCGCACAAATGCCGAGAGAAGTGTTGAGGATCGAGCATCTAGAACCTGTGTCGGCCCCTCCTGAAACAAGAAACGAGCATCTCAGGCCCTGTTATCCTCGACCCCCAGTCATGGGGATTCCTTATATGCGTGCACCTAGGATGACTTATCAGGAGCGACGTAGCATGGAAGTCATGGCTTGGGATCTGCATGACGCCGTAGTAGGATTGCTTATCATCATCACAACATTACTGTCATGTAAGAGGTGGTGGATGCGAGGTGTGATTATGCATACACCGTCAGGAGGATGAAAATTAGAGCTATGATCACTAGTGCTATCACGGGAAGGGCTAGCATCGATTCTAGCAGTGGCACTTATCTGGGTGATTGTGTTTTGGGGTTGATTCTAAGTGTCATGGTTTATGTTTTATTATTATGGTTTATGAATTATGATGTATTGCCTTTGGTTTATGGTTTTTGGAACAATGATTGAGGTGCCTTTTGTAGCTTGCAGTGTCAAGCAATATGCTTTGTTAAACCTTTTTATTTTCGAACTGCAAATGGAATTTACCTTAATGATTTTCAATCACCATGTTATTTCACCCTACCATTGTTTTCCATGAGCCAAAAAAAATGTTTTGAAGATTTGAAATTTTTCTTGAAATTATTTTCTTTCTAAAACATCCTTAACTTTGTTTGTGTATTATAGAACCATGGCCCAAAGAAGAAACACACTCTCACGCCCAACACAGCCTGAGAATGCCACTTCTGATATTGCTCAATTGGTTTCACAACAACTAATGGCTGCTATCCCTAACATTGTGGCTCAAGTCACCGCGGGAGTCAACGCAAGTCAGACAAACCGCGGAGGCCCTACACCTACTGAGAACACCGATGGAAGCGGAGTTCGTAATGAGGAAACAAGGGGATGCACCTATAAATACTTCATGTCTTGCAAACCCAAGGAGTTTCATGGAACAGAGGGTGCGGTGGGATTGTTGAAATGGATAGAAGGAATAGAGGCCGTACTCCACATCAGCAAATGGTCAAATGACTGCAAGGTTCCGTATGTTGCATGCCTTCTCCAAGACAGAGCCTTAACGTGGTGGAATGCGCAAGTCCGGAACCGTGGAAGGGAGGCAACGAACCAATTAGCTTGGGAGGAATTCAAAGAGTTACTCAAGAAGGAATACTGCCGTAAGGATGAGATCCAGAAAATGGAATTTGACTTCTGGAACCATGCCATGGTAGGAGCCGATGTGGAAGGCTACACTGTGCGTTTCCATGAACTCGCTGAGGATTGACCGATACATATGGGGTTTAGCACCAAAAATCCGAGGCATGGTTACTTCAGCAAATCCTAACCCAATCCATAGTGCTATAGACCTGGCGCACCGCCTTACGAATGATAAAGTGAGGGTCGGGATATTGACCATAAGCAACGCAAGTAATAAAAGAAAATCGGAGAACCAGCTGGGGAGGAAGAAGAATGACAACTCAGAAAAGAACAAGAAAAGGGCAACGAACTTTACGGTTAAAACAGAGGAACCTGTGCAATACCGAGGGCCTAAACCTAAGTGTGAGAGATGCAACTATCATCATGAGGGTGTCTGCCCTATCTGACACAAGTGCAATCGAACTGGACATTTCGCAAAGTATTGCAGGATAGATAAAGATCACAAGGATGGTAAACGAGCATGCTATGAGTGTGGAAGTGTGGACCACTTTAGGAATGCCTGCCCGAATCTAAATAAGGGCCCCAATAACAACAATACCAGGAACCAGGCGGGACATATAAACGGTGGAAATACAGGAGGCCAGGCTCGTGGGCAAGCATTTGTGATTAAGGCAGAAGAGGCCCGCCAGAACCTAGAGGTGGTAAGTGGTAACAGGTACATTCCTCCTAAACAACCACTATGCATCAGTATTATTTGACTCTGGGGCAGATAGAAGTTTTGTGTCACATGAATTTAGACCCCTAATCGACTTGAAATCAAAAATATTGGAACATGCCTATGTAGTTGAAGTTGCTAACGGTAATGAAATTAAGGCTAGGGAGATAGTTCCTAATTGTACGTTGAACTTAGCTGATAAACTTTTTAGTATTGACCTTATACCCATTGAACTGGGAAGCTTTGACGTAGTGATTGGAATGGACTGGTTGTCCAAGAATCGAGCAGACATAGGATGCTTTGAGAAAGTTGTGAAAATACCCCTCCAAAACAACGAAATCCTTATAGTGTACGGAGAGAAACCAGGAAAGAACTTGAAGATAGTCTCATGCATGAAGATTCACAAATATCTGAGAAAGAAGTACCTTGCGTTCTTGGCTTATGTAGTGGAAAAGAACTCAGAAGAAAAACATATTCAGGATATTCCAATAGTGTGAGAATACCCCGAAGTATTCCCAGAAGAGTTGTCTGGACTCCCCCCAACAAGACAAGTCGAATTCAGAATTGATCTAACTCCTGGAGCGGCACCTGTAGCTAAAGCACCTTATCGCTTGGCACCTTCTGAAATGCAAGAACTTTTGGGCCAACTTCAGGAACTTTTGCAAAAAGGATTCATTCGTCCAAGTTCCTCACTGTGGGGTGCACCGGTCTTATTTGTGAAAAAGAAGGATGGATCGATGCGAATGTGCATCGATTATAGAGAACTAAATAAATTGACTATCAAAAATAGATACCCCCTTCCTCGAATAGACGATTTGTTTGATCAACTCCAAGTTGCCTCGTACTTTTCAAAGATTGATCTACGATCGGGATACCACCAATTAAGGGTACGCAACGAAGATGTTCCTAAAACCGCCTTCAGGACTCGTTACGGACACTACGAATTCTTAGTTATGCCTTTTGGGCTAACTAACGCGCCAGCTGCCTTCATGGATCTTATGAATAGGATTTGTAGGCCGTACCTTGACAAGTTTGTGATCGTGTTCATTGATGACATACTAGTCTATTCCCCAAACAAAGAAGAGCATGAACGGCATCTTAGGCTTGTTTTGGAACTATTGAAAGACCAAAAATTATTTGCAAAGTTCTCTAAGTGCAAATTTTGGATTAGGGAAGTACGATTCCTTGGTCGTGTGGTTGGAGAAAAAGGAATACACGTGGATCCCACCAAAGTCGAAGCAATTAAGAAATGGGAAACCCCAAGATCCACCGACGGAAATTCAGCAATTTCTGGGATTGGCGGGCTATTATAGGCGCTTTATTGAGAACTTCTCCAAAATTGCCCAACCACTGACTCTTCTAACCCAAAAGGATAGGAAATTTGTATGGGGAGAAGCACAATAAGATGCCTTCCAATTCCTGAAACATAAGTTGTGTAATACGCCAGTCTTGGCATTTCCAGATGGTGTGGAGAACTTCACAGTGTATTGTGATGCGTCACACCAAGGTCTGGATTGCGTACTGATGCAAAAAGGAAAGGTTATTGCATATGCGTCAAGGCAGTTGAAGGTTCATGAGAAAAACTACACAACCCACGACCTAGAATTAGGAGCGGTGGTATTCGCCCTTAAGATCTGGAGACATTACTTGTACGGAACTAAGTGCACTATTTATACTGATCACAAAAGCCTACAACACATCTTGGATCAAAAGATGCTTAACATGAGACAGAGGCGGTGGGTAGAATTACTCAACAACTACTAATGCGAAATTAAATACCATCCAGGAAAGGTCAATGTTGTAGCCGATGCGTTGAGTAGGAAGGAAAGGGTGAAGCCCTCACGAGCACATGCCTTCGGAGCCCTTGTTCAAACCAGTTTGAAGAGCGAAATCCTTGTTGCTCAAGGCGAAGCGTTAAAAAATGAGAACTTGAAACGTGAAACATTGCACGGCCTAGAACAACGATTTGAAACACGTTCAGATGGAGTGAAGTACTTTAAAAATAGGGTATGGGTACTAAAGATTGACGAATTACGTAAGGTAGTTTTAAAGGAAGCCCATAATTCCCGATACTCGATCCACCCTGGAGCCGACAAAATGTACTTGGATCTAAAGGAATACTATTGGTGGCCTGGAATGAAGAAAGATATTGCCTTGTATATTGAGAAATGTTTAACTTGTTCCAAAGTGAAGGCCGAATATCTAAAGCCCTCCGGTTTGCTTCAACAACCAGAAATACCTCAATGGAAATGGGAGCAAATATCCATGGATTTTGTTACCAAGTTGCCAAGGACCACGAAGGGACACGATTCTATTTGGGTTGTGGTGGACAGATTGATGAAATCAGCACACTTTCTCCCCATTCGAGAAGATTATCGAATGGAAAGGCTTGCTCAAATTTACATAGACGACATTGTAGCACGCCACGGGTACCTATTTCCATTATTTCAGATAGAGATAGCTGTTTTACATCTAGATTTTGGTAGTCACTTCAAAAAGCCTTGGGGACACGTTTAGACTTAAGTACCGCCTATCATCCCCAGACAGATGGTCAGAGCGAACGAACCATCCAGACGTTAGAAGATATGCTCCGGGCTTGCGTGATCGACTTTGGAGGAAGTTGGGATAACCATTTTCCATTAGTCAAGTTCTCCTATAATAATAGCTACCATACCAGCATTCAATGTGCCCCCTATGAGGCCTTGTATGGGCATAAATGTCGCTCCCCGCTATGTTGGCTGGAAATTAGCGATAGCCAGTTAACGAGACTAGATTTAATTCAAGAAACCTCTGAGAAGATCTCGATAATACGTGATAGACTGAAAGCAGCTCTTGATCGCCAGAAGAGCTATGCTATCAAGCGTAGGAAACCCTTGGAATTTCAAAAGGGAGACAGAGTACTCTTAAAAGTACCCCCATGGAAGGGAGTCGTGCGTTTTTGTAAACGAGGCAAACTGAGTCCCCGTTATGTAGGACCCTTCGAGATTATCGAAAGGGTAGGTCCAGTGGCATATAAGCTCAAGCTACCGGATGATCTGAGTGCGATACACGACACATTCCATGTGTCGAACCTCAAAAAGTGCTTGGCGGAGGAATCCCTACACATACCTCTCGGGGACCTCCAAATTAATGATCGACTAAAATTCCTGGAGGAACCCATAGAAATCCTCGATCGAGAGGTTAAGCAACTAAAACGAAGTAAAATACCTATCGTGAAAGTTCATTGGAACTCTAAGCATGGGCCCGAGTTTACGTGGGAACGAGAGGATTTCATGAAGAACAAATATCCTCAACTATTCGTTATGTCAGAACCAGTGTTACCTCCAGTTGATATTCGGGACGAAATTCCCACAACTGGGGGAGACTGTGACATCCACCAAAACTCAGGTCAGTACTCATCTAGAACTTCGTCATTTCCT